CTTTCACATCTCTTAGTACTCAGGAAAGTATTTTAAAAGGTAATTACATAAATTTTAGGAGTAAATATATATTTTAATCTCTATCTACTGACTACTACAATTGTTAATTAATCATATAATTAGTTAACAATTGATAGTATAATTTCAGTAGTTTCGATCAGTAAATATTAGTAGATATTTATTTTAAATTGTAAAATAATTTTATACAGTAGAGGGATTATATCAGTAAATTTTCATAGTGAAATTTGACATTGATCAATTGTCAGATGCTACTGAAATATGATAAGGATAACTTTGTAGAAAATAGCGATACTTGACAATCGTCAATTGCTAGATGTTAATGAGACGTGACAATGGTAAATCTTCACATACTTGGGAGATGGTAATGGCTAGTTTTCAGAAACTAATGAGATGTGGCAGTGGTCAGTTTTCAGATGCTAGCGAAACGTGGCAGTGGTAAATTTACAGGCTTTAATGAGGCATGACAATGGTAAATTTTCAGAAACTACTGAGATGTGGTAATGATCAGTTTCTAGATACTGCTGGAGGTGGTAATGATCAGCTTCCAGATAGTAGTGAAAGATAGAGAAAGGTAGCAATGATTAGTCAATCTCCAGATATTAATGAAGAGTGGCGATTTCCAGATACTAGTGTAAGGTACCAATGGTAAACGTACAGATACTGGTGAAGAATGGTAAGTGTCACTTTCCAGATACTAAAAGATGGTGATAATCAACATATATAGGTAATAGTCTATATACCAGTGAATGGGGAACTTTCATATACTAGTGAGGGTGGCTACAGGTAACTTCTATATACTAGTATAAGGTAGAAATAGGTAGCTTCTATATATTAGTATAAGGAAGTGATAGATAGTTTCATATACTACTGAAGAATAACAATTTTCTTCCTCCATATACTAGTTAAACCTATAAATGGATGAATCAATGAAAAATAAAGTAAAAATATATTAGAATAAAATAATAAAAGATAGAAAAGAAACATCGAATTGCAAAATTTTATGATATTTTTTTTCTCCCAAATACTATTTTCTAAAGGTTTTTCTTTTTATATTAAATTATATATATTAAAGCTATTCCATAATAAATAATATAAATTTCTACCAGATGAAACACGACACAATTTTCATTTTAAATGCTGAAATTCTAGGTTTCTTCCTTTTTGTATCTGCAAATTTTCTAACTTTGAAACTTTTAACAATATGTCGTGCAAGTTTCATAATCCCCCCTATACATGTTTGATTGATATAGAGTGTTTTTAGACTTATGAATAATGTATAAGGTATTATCTTTCAGATAAAAACTATTGTATTGTATGAGAAACAATTTTTTTTTTCGTCTGTGGAATTTTTTTTTCTTTTATTTCCGTTAAAAATTTCTTCTATATTTTTATTTTACAAGAAAAATTTTTATGGTTTCTTCCTTGTTCATTCAACTAAAAGGAACTTTAACGAATCATATTCGACTCCATCTTGGAATGAGATGCGACGAGTCAACGCGTCGCATGCCAACGTGTCGCTACACATTATTATTTTCAATTTTTTTTAGTAAAATAATGCAAATTTAAAAGAATAAATAAATAAACATTTTAAAACTTTAAATTCTTCTAAAAATTTATTTTAAGTCTTTTTTACTTGAATATAAATAATAATCTTCGCTCCTACAAATCAACATTATGACAGAGAAATGACGTTTTTTTTAATAATAAATTTATTTTTACGACATCAATTTGAATAATTTTTAATTTATTAATATTAAAATATTAAAATAAATTATGTAATATAATATAATATGCAAAATTAATTGGCTAAATAGCTCTAAATTATCTTAAGTGTCGCGTCGTAGCGTTAAAACAAGCGACGCGAAATAAAAAATTTTGCTCTTAAAATCTTTTAAAAAATAAAAATTTATTATATTATTTTTCAATTTATTAAATATAAACAATTAAAATATCGTAAACAACTTAATTTAATAATTTAAAGTTTAGAATTATATTATTTCTTTTTTTAAATTGCGTCGCGTCGCGTTGCGGCGTCAACGTAAGCGACGCGAACTGATAAACTTGTACGTTATTAAACTTCTAATTAATAAATTCATTATCAAAATAGATATTTAAATGTAATTCTCTTGAAGTTAATACCTTTTTAAAGTATTAATTTTCATCAAAGTTTTTAGATTTAACTCCATTAGATAATGTTAATGGAGTTAAACGTGATAACTCCATTAAGTAAATTTAACAACAAGAATTAATTTTAAAATAAATAATAAATAATTTAAATAATATTTAATGATTTTTATGGCCAAAACAAAAAACTAAGAAATAATTGGCTAATATTTAATGTTTTTAAAAATTTTTCTCTCGTGTTATAGTACATGACCCACGCTTTACTAAAGCAAAACCTTTAAAAATTTATATAAAAACTTACTTTAAAGATAGTTTAAGTTTATGAATACTCAAAAATTTATTGCTAAATGCCCTTATTTTCTTAGATGATCTCTAAAACCTTTAGTAAGATATCATATAATGTTTCATAAATCGAGTTAACAATGAAGATCCCTCACATTGTAAGTTCTGCAGTAGAGTTTGATCCTCTGAGGGATAATAAGAGATTCTTAAGAAGATATATCAGTTTTAGAGACTTATAAGGAACTTTCTGATGTACTTTCATAAACATATATGACCTTATTTTGTATACTACATCTAAAATTCTACGTTATATGATTACTGAGGAAAATCTTCTAGATAAGCGTATTGATGATAGTAAACACCTTCTAAAGTAATTTACTGTACATACTTGTACATAATCTTGCTTAAAATAGGTGTTTAACCGAGTGTACAAATTAATTTCTGGAAATAATTCGTTCACTGACTTCCTGAAGTTGACAAAGTATCGTGATAAGTAATAAATGTGGTAGATAAATCGATGAGAATTGGGATCACTCTATTCCTCATAATTCTTCATTTTATGTGTTTTAGGAGGATTTTTTCCGAAAATTGGGACCTTAATGAGTAATATTTTTCTTAATTTTACCCATAACTGACAGACAAAACGTACAGTTTACTTAGAAAAGGCGTGTAATAATACAACTGTAGGTATATTTATTAAAATAATTATCTGCAAAAGAGCTACTTTATGAGCTGTGTATCAAGTGAAAGCTCAAAATTGTGAACTTGATTTGAGTTTAAGCATAAAATTTAAGATGTATTTACTAATTTAATTGAAAAATATATAAAATAATCTAAAAATTAATACACTTATAAATTAATTCTATATATTATATCATTAAATAAGTATCAAAATATTATCCATTCTAAACAATTAATATTATTTATATTTGCTTTTTGAGGCCTTTAATTCGCAAAACCAATGCAAATTTTTAATTAAATTCGCAATAAAATAAAATAATTTCTGCAGGGAAGAAGAAATTAATCTGAAATTTTCATTATTTTTTCCTTAAAAAAAAAACATTACTTTAAACCTGTAAAATGATGTTTAAATTCAATTTAAGATAAGCATAGATTTGATTTCTGCTAAATCAAATCAAATATATACAAATAAATCGAGTAAACAAACAAAAATTCTTTAACTAATTAACAGTTTATACATTAAAAGTACTGTAATTCCATAAAAATTTTATAATTTAATTCATTAAAAGAAGGAAGAAAGAAGGAAAGAAATTACGTGTAATGAAATATTTAACCTAATTAATAAATACTTTAAAATAATTAAAAGAAATTCAAATTAAGAAAATTTATATGTTTAAACATAGAAAAATCGAAAAATTAATGTGTTGAGAGCTTAAAATATAAAGAATTTTTAACAAATTATAATTTTTTTGACAGCATCAAAGTCTAAACAATTTTAAAAGATCATTATTGACGTCAGTCATTAAAAAAATGTGCTGAAAACTCTAATTTTTGAAGCTCCTAAGGGTATTGAATATTAAATATTATATTAAAAAAAATAATTTTAAAGCTATTCTCACAAATTCTAAAAATATTATTTGTAGCTGTACAGTAAAATTTTTCGATTTATCTACATTCACAAACATCCAGAGATATATACTTTAACGCACATACAGACACACACACACGCATACAAACTGAAAGAATTTTGTTCCATTTTCCTTTCTTAAAAATAATTCAAATTTTTGTTCGTAAATTACTAGAAACATTCCAGAAATGTTACAAATTCAATTTGTTTGCGAATCATGTAGAAGAATCAAAAATTCGCTTTTAGACAATTTATAAATATTAATATAAAATATTAGAGACGTAGAAGTAGAAGGAAAGAAAGGGGGAAAAATAATAATAATAATAATAAAATTTTCTATATAAAACATATAAAATGTTTCCTTAAATCTTCAAAGCATATATCATTCCATTATCAATTTAAGGTGAATTCAAGTTTAAAAAAAAATATATATATATTTAGGGAAATTGGGTGTGAATGTAACTTATTAAAGTGTAAACTCTATAAAATTTCCTTTATATAAAAGATTTTTGAAGAAAGTACCTAGCAAGTAAGACGTACCCTCATTTTATAGAAATTTCAATAAAAATATTAATGATAATTAGAAGTAAATTTAGCTTATTAACGTTTCCACTCTTTAATAAATCTTTTTACTGTGTTTAAAGTAAAATTTAATTAACAGAAGACTTTCAAAAATGGCAAAGATCACTCTAGATTTGAAGAATCATCCTCAATTTGAAACGGGAAATTTAATGATAATTAGAAGGAAATTAACTTAAAAACATGGATTTGAACGACCTTCAAATAAGCTGAGAAATATTAAAAATTGTGTATTAAATTTGGAGTCTTTTAATCTAATTTGTAATCTTTTTATATCGAAATAAACAGAGAAATAATTTATCTTGTTATCCGTTTAGAGAAACAAGTCAAAATTTATTAAAAGTCGGATAAAGTCAGAAATTATGTGGTTTATAGTTGATTAGAAGTCGATATATATGTGACTTACCAACTACTTCCAGATATCCAACTTGGCTTTTCATTGGAGAAGTATTAATTTGGCACATATACTCCCCGCTGTCTCTCTCTTCCACATCAGTGATGTGTAGCCACCAAGTCCTATGGCTATTATGAGATATGCTGTATCGCATATTGCGAGTTATAAGACGATCGTGTAGCGTAAGTAACGTGTGTCTATCTGTATGAATCCAAGCGACCTAAAAATATAAACAATTTTTATAATTATTTATTTTGTTACTATTGATATAACTGTATAAAAAATGGTGTAAAAATCAATTTTTATTGTTAAATATGACTTTAAACGACTTTAAACCAATTCAAACAAGTTTAAACTCGTATAAACTTGTTTAATTGTTGATTGTTCAAAGGAAAATGTTTTATTTCGTTCGTAATTGATCAAAATTTAATTTATTATTACGTAACAATCAGCGATTTATTCGAAATTTCAATTTGTTATTAACACTTTAAACAGCTGATGTAATTGATTATTATTTATGAAAATGATATTATAATTGTTTAAAATATTACAAATAATAATATATTATTTCTCGATTATACTTAATTGGAAATGAATAACAGAGACGCTCGTGGCGACGTTAAATCTTCACAAAAAATGAATTTTAAGTGTTTTAAACGATTAAAGTGGTGTAAAGTTTTACTTATAATAATCTTAATAATGTCTTTACTTTTAAAAAACGAATTATTTAGTTAATGGAGCAATTATTTCAATAATTTTTGCTCAGGATAATCACATTGTCGAGTGTTTTCTCGAGTCGCTCCTCATAAAAAAAAATCATTTAATATATTAAAAATAGACAAAACACAGAAAATTATAGTAAAAGAAGGTAAAATTTAATTAAAATTACTTTAAAAACATAGTTAAAATGTTATCAATTATAAAAATTCGCTCATGATTGTGGCTCTACTGTAAAAAGAATGGTTTAATTCATTAAAAATAGACAAAATATTTTGCAATTACAGCGAAAGAAGACAGAATTTGTTAAATTACTTTAAAAAGTTAGTTAAAATATCATAAATTACTTTAAAAGAAACCTAATAAAAGTTAGTTTAATAATAGGAGAAGGCACAGAACAATAAAAAAAACCCATCAATTATGTAAAAGAATAATAAAAAAAGGAAAGAGATCAATTAGAAAAACTTAATACAACTCAAGTTAACAGATTAATAAAAAAAAATAAAAGAAGTAGAAACTTTCCAATCTAAAATAATTAATAATTCAAGAACATTAAGTACGTTGTAACATACAAAAGTAAGAATAAAACAATGGAATATATATATAAAAAATACAAGAGGGCTTTCCCACTGATTAAATTCGAGTAAAACAAAAGACTTTAATCATCATAAAATACTTTAATTTCAATTTTATATATACATATATATAAACTCACTAATGAATAGGTAATTAGTTAGATTATCCACAACCAATAACATAGTTTACTAAACACAATCATTTATTAGATTTCTAGTAATACGTCATACAGAGAAATCAAACTGTATAACTACATTATAGTTGAAGCAATTCGAGTGGGAATCTAACCAATTCAACAGCCAAAACTATTGGATCGATGGTGGAGTGTATTAGTGGAGACACTGTGATTAATGACGCCTGTGACACAGATAACTTATTAGTTATAGATGGCTCCTAACGGGATAGTGGTCCTGGTCAGTCTGGCTTTTCCCTATGTCGTTACTTCGTCAACTCCCCATTTTCTTCCAAACTACTACCATCATTTCGCTCCATGCTTCATCTGAGTAAATCCTCAATAAGTTTACAAGATAAATGTGATTTTTTAATGGTTCCTTTTTTAAAATTTCTATGGTAATTGTATCAGAATTTCGGTTATTTTTTCGTAAAACTGTATAAAATAAAACTTTGTGGGGTTTTTTTGGGTTGTTGGTTAAGTTGTATTAGGACAGCAACCTCTGAAGATCTTGAAGACCTTTTACAGCAACCTCTAAAGATCATTAGAGGTTGCTGAAAATTGTTTTAATCTTCTTATATGACCTGTAAACAAGTTTACAGGTCATATAAGAAGATTAAAACAATTATAAAAGTCTTCTTTACATATATAAAATATAAATTTGCCCATTTTTTGTTGGTTGAGTTGTATTGGGGACTGTAAAGCAGTGCAAGTAAGTCTACTTTACAATACCAATCATCTTAAGAGTTTGCTGAGGGAAGGTCTTCATTTATACAAGTTTATAGATCATATAAGAAGATTAAAACAATTATACAAGTTTACTTTACAGCAGAAACCTGTATAGAACCTGTAGACTGATAGCTATGACTTTAAACAGTATAAAATATAGTTTAAATTTCTTCAGAATGATTATAGAATTTTTAAATTATTATAATTGATCAAGAAGAGCACTCGAGAACCATAGAGAATTTATGACCTTACAGTATTTATCCTGAAAGGTATAGGTCAGAGAAGGTCATAGGTCAGAGCAGAAGTATAAAGGACAGCTGAAAATTCTTCAAAATTTCTAAAACTATTAAATGATAAATGTATTACGAGGAGTAATCGAAAAATTGGGTAAAATAGAGTTTTGGAGTAGAGTCCTGACCTTTTGATATTGTTTTTGGAATTATGACCTTTATATTAGGTCTTAATCTACAGAATGTCATAGGTCACAACAAAAGATTAAGATTAAAAGAACACAGTATACAATTAAAGCTACAAGAGCTTCAAATGGTAAAGTAAAACTGTAGATATTGTAGATAATCACGCCTTCTTCTTGTTCTCCCTACTTCCTTGAACTGTTGAGTTATTTTTAATTATAATTATGTACTTTATGAACCAATTTATTAACATCATTTTTGTACAAATTTATGATTTGTTGCCTCTGAGAGGGTCTTGGAACATCGAAAAATGCACATTTTCTTCCAGTGCTACTAACAAAATTACAACATACAAGCATATTTAACATTATTTCCCATTTTCCTTATAATTTTCTAGAATTTTGTGCAGTTTCTCTCCCATTGCATCAGATAGAAGATGGTGTCAGGGTCATCACTAAATGGAGAAAAGGTTCAACCTTAACACGTGACTATTTATTGATTGTTGTACTTAAACCTTAAGCTTTAATTGTGTGACATTGAGATGTATTTTCACTTCGATTTGTTACTGTACAATTACAGAAATGTTCAGGTTTAAACACGTTCGAACAAGTTTAATTACGTTCAAACTTGTTAATTACAACAAATTAAAAAAAATGACGTGAGCAAAAAACAATGATAAAATACACCAAAATTACCAATTTTTTGTGCAATTTTGTGGGATTTAAAGTAGGAAAAATTTAATAAATATCATTTCTAAATTTGATTTAATTACATTATAGCCTGTATCAATCTTGCAAAATTTCTGGTGGTAATTATTTTGTAAAGGTACAATTTACTACGTGATTTTGCATATAATTCTACACAATTAACACTATTAATATTATTCAAAATTACTATAATTGCTCTTAAGTAAATATCAACGTTGGAAACGACTCTCTGAACGCATTTAATATTAATTAGCATGAATACAATCGAATTATTTATAAGGCAATTAATTGAATTTAATTGAATATAATCTATATAAGAATATTAAAGGGATAATTAATGAAAATTTAGTAAATTTACAATGTATTTTACATGATTTTTATCGAGTCTGAATGATGAGATGGTGGAATTTTTTCGGATAAAATCGATATTTTTCTGAATAATTACAAAAATAGAAGAAAGAATATCAAAGAATATGCTATTAGTTTTGTTTTCTGATCATTAAAATTGTTATTTATTTTAAAAAATTCAAGGAAAATTGTGTTTTTTTTTTTTTTAAGAATAACAGTCTGCAGTTCAATGTAATTCTATAGTCTCTACGTGAAAATATCGACAGACATTTTTAAATTTTGAACTTAAAATTTAANCGCCACCGCCAATGTACTTTTCTCGGCGTGTGATAAACGTGTATTAATTTAAAGGAATAATAAATGCATATCGATCGTCGAATTAATTGTGCTAGTGCATTTAGCGGCGTCACTTTTATCTCTAACGTGGCGCCGAAAAGACGGTTGTGTGTACTTTAAACTAATTGACATCTTTCGTTACAATATAAAAACTTTTACCGAGGTGGGTATCTTGGTAAAAGATAAATTTAAATTTGAGAAAATATGCGCGGTATATTGTTATTTATTTTAAAAAATTGAAATAAAATTGTGTTTTTTTTTTTTTAAGAATAACAGTCTGCAGTTCAATGTAATTCTATAGTCTCTACGTGAAAATATCGACAGACATTTTTAAATTTTGAACTTAAAATTTAAAATATTTCTTTTTGATTTTTAAAATACTGGTTTATTTAAACTTGTATTGTGAGTGAAACATTCAATTAAAACATAAAATCTTTACATAAATCTGCATAAATTAATACAGGCTGTAATTGTTTGATAACAGGGTAATTCGATAATAATGATGATAGTTTAATAAGCAATTCGAAGACAATAATCGTATAAAATGCAATTTTGAATAAGGAAATTAGAAATGTAATAGGACAATTTACAATATAGAACAGAAGAGTACAACCACTTGCATAGAAAGAAAAAAAAAAATAGAGCCAGTTACAGCATTGAAGACAAGTATAGCATACAGAACAAAGGAGAACGACAAAAGAATGTTACAGATAGTTATATCAATGTTATTTATTACATTTAATTAGTTTACGTTTGCATAGAGAAGAAGATATACACAATAGGTATAATAAGTAACATTGAACATAGTATGAAAGAAAGCTTAATACATCTTTGCACAAAAGCAAGCTAAACAAGAAGTATAAACAATATCCTCAATAATTATTCAAAAATTTATCATCATGAAAAGAAGCAAAGAAAACGTAAAGAAACACCACTTGAACACGTCAAGCTTGCATCAGATGCCAAGTTATCATCAAGGATATAACAGAATCAAGATAAGGAAGATGCAGATAAGAACATGATTGACAGAGGTAGAGAAATGAAATCTACTCATCTGATATTCAATACTTGCTTTATAGTTTTATGTATACGTGCATTTTTTATATATTATACACGACATTTTTATTATCTCCTTAATCAAAATAGTTCTTAACTTAATCGAATCTGAAAAACTAGAAGTTCCAACAACTAATGTCCAAACTAATGGAAGATAAAGCTGATT